CTTCGGCTATCGCGACGCCAACACGTCTCTGGAGTGGCGGTTGTACGCTTCACATCCAGCAGAGCATCGAATTCGGCCTGTCGCTTGTCCGCGCCTTTCTCCTCCTGCAGCGCTACTATTCCTCGGTCTAATTCCAGCTGTCTCATGCCATCTACGACCAGTGCTTCGTTTCGAATCCCTTCCACAAGACGTTCCCTGAATTACCGCCAACGCTGTGCTTTCTCCGCATCAACTGCTCGGCCGGGCGTGAAAGTTGTACAAAATCCGAGGGTGGACGATGAAGGGAATGCGTTGATGATCAATATTTCGCCTCGGGCAGCAGAGGTATGTTGGATAACTTTCTTAAAATTGTGTCTCTGCCCCTTTGCGGAAATGTCAGACCGTTTAAGGGTACCATCTCCCATGGCTTCCTTGGGATTTACATAACAGTGCTTTGTTGGGAGGAGAAGAGCTGCGTCACCGAGGTATAAGCCTCCTCGAACGCATATCTAGCACATACGACCATAGGGTGTGGAAAACAGGGCTTCCCGTCCGCTCAGCCGTACTTAAGCCACACGCCGGCCGGTTAGTAGTTGGGTGGGTGACCACCAGCGAATCCCGGCTGTTGTATGTTTTTTTTCGTCTTGTTCTGCGCTCGTCATATTATCTCCTTTTTATCTTATTCTATTTTGTTTTTTTCACTATTTCTCATTCGAGGAGCATATCATTTTCCAAGAGTACTGACTTGCTGGCCAGCGTCTTCGAGACATCACGGATCCATCCTCTTCCCCGTCGGCAACAAAGGAGGAGAATCCGTACCATCATCTTCGGATTACTGTTACCAGCGGAGGGTGTCATGGCTTCCAGTACCTCATGTCTCTCGAGGCAGCCTCGAAGATTGACCCCGAGGAAGACACGGTATTCGAAGCGGAACCCGAACAGGGCACCACCTCGGGGCCCGGCGAAGCAAAGGTGGTCATGGATGAACCGTCTTTGGAACTCTTATCGGGGAGCACGGTCGACTATACCATGGAACTGATTGGCAGTCAATTCAAGATTGTTGATAATCCGCGGGCAACGAGCAACTGCGGTTGCGGAACGAGCTTCGACGTCAAGGATTAAATAACCTCCTTGGCCCGGTTTGGTTGCCGAGATATCAGGACCGATTGTGCATTCTCTTCAATGTATATCACAATATTTTAACAGATAGAGTAATAGATACTATACCCCACTTCTCATTCGGGTGACGACCCATGCTTTTATACTCACCGAGCCTTCTTGTGACAGGCTATATGTATTATGTGCAAGCTGAAGCCTCGCCGCGCCAATCCGAAGCAACCATTACTGAAGTGAGACATTCTTTTATTTGCAAACATGATGCATAGACCGTATAATAAATAATTAGAGAAACATAAATGTAACATTTACGCCCCTGAATCAACCATCTAAACTCATTTTGATCGCGACGAATCCGTGTCCCGAGCAAATCAAGGCCGTAAACCTGGGATACAGCTTGTTGAAAACAAACAAGAACTGAAAATGGAGATGAAGAGAGAATGGTGGACACGGAACAAAATTCATCATGGGAGGGGCTAATCATTGCCATACTGCCTCTTTTTACCCCTCTGTTTTCTTTCACGGAAGAATGAATGGCATCACTTCGAAAATAGGGTTTACTAAACACCCTAATTCCCTTGACCACACTTAGCTGCAACCCCTTAGGCCCTGATCGGCTTTTCATAACTCCTGGAGCGGTCGAGGCATTATCGCTGGACTTCTCGGTGTCCACTTCATTGCCTCACATATCCTATGCACTGGCATAACACATACCTCATTTCGAAGCCTCAGCCAGAGGTTCGGAGTGAAAGGAGGTGGCCATCTAGTAAACTCTGGCCAAGTTTCTCAAGTACCAGTCCACCAGACGGCGGCCGGCCTTGGTTTCGCTGACGTGGATCAGGTCATTCTCCAGCGCATAGTCGAGGTCATTGGCGCTGACGACCTCACCCTCCAACAGGCCACCCTCGACCCAGCGCACCTGACGGCTGCGCTGCTTGTTCACCAGTAGCCAAGAGCGGAGCACCTCGGGCTGGACCTCGAGGAAACCGGCGAGTTTCTTCAGGTCCATGGTCGTGTAGAGCTTGAGGTACGACCGGATGGTAGGGTTGTATAGGGTGTTCTTGACCTCGTCCATGAAAATAGCGGTGTGGTGGTCGACAGGGTCGATGTTAAGAGCCGGGTTGTCAAAGTCAGGGGGGGTGGGGCTGATGAACTTGGGGCAAGCGGAGCGGAAGAGCTCCTCGAACAGAGGAAGGGCATCGGGACCGCCGTGCTGGAGACGAAGGAGCTGCTCGCCGTACTTCTCACGCAGAGCCGAGTGGATAGTGTCGTCCAGACGAGTGGGGTGAAGAGCCACGCAGATCGCGATCAGAGCATACATCTGGTCGTTCTTCTTAGCAATGGCATCATAGCTGTTGCCACCCTTTTGGAAGTTCTTGGTCCGCGAGACATAGACCAGAATGTGACTGAACATGCGAATGGCATCGCCGTAACGACGCATCATCATGTACGAGAAACCCACATAGTAGTAAGTGGTGAAGTGGGCTGCCATGACGCGAGCGAACATGGCCTTCTTGTTCATCTCAATGTCATCGAGAGTCTTGAGAGCAAGGCTGAAGTCTCCCAGCAAGCAGTGGACACGCAGCAGACCGATGATCGAGAAGTATCCCAGCATCTTATACAGAGGGCGGGAGCCGTATTCACCAGCGAATGCCATCGGATCCTCTCCGCGCTTGATAGCGGCCAATTGTTCGTTAATCTGCGATTTCTGAATGAGAGAGTAAAGAACATTGAGGACGGAGTAGCAGCCCCACGTGTTCGGGTTCTCACGCAGGAGTTGTGCCTCCTCTTCGTTGGAGCCGCTGCGGGCGACACGGTTACGGTAGCGGCAGAACGATTCAAACTGATAGATGAATTCATCGATCACATCCCAGGCCCAGTAGTACTATACGAAAGAAATAGGTATGCGCAGTTAGCAATTGTCTCAACAGCGGCCATGACATGACATGGGCGAAACCACGGAGAAAATACACCGAGCCCGTGGAGATTCGCTTCCATAGAGCAAAGTGTGATAGAAATGAGGACGTACAGATGGCACCTCCAGCTCGACAGGACCTTCGGAGTTCAGGATGTAGTGGAACAGGCTGCAGTAGTTGTCATAGCTTGCGAACTTGGTCTCGAGAGTGGCCTGGTATTCAAGCGGGGTTGCAGCAGCGGCAAGCTGAGCCTGGAGGTCTTGCGTTTGGGAACCAGTTCCAAGGGATGTTGTCCGCTCCAGCTCGCTCATGCCATCGTCAAAGTTCACTTGCTCGCGGTAGTCGTTGACGAGGGCCTCCTCCTCGACATCGGACTCGTCGCCCAGGTTAGGGTGCGCATTGACGCGCTCTTCGTACGACATATTGACTCTGAAGGTGATCCGATAACGGGAAAATATCCAGTGAGATCGTATCGGGGCCGGTCGGCAAGGGAGAGCTGCGGAGGGAGATACGTCGTTCGGCGTTGCTGGTTGACGTCGGCGTGTGGGATAATTGTTTCGGCGGCGTCGAATTTTGAGGGTTTTCGCTTGAAGAGGTTTGTGTTTATCTTATCTCTGCATAGGAAGAGAGCTGAGTCATCTATGCATTTATGCCGTGAATACCACGTGATTTTGTTCACGATCATCCAGGGTTCTTTCCAAATCAGGAAGTTTCTTACATATTCCGTGCATACCCCGTCTTTGCCAGAAGTGAAAATATGTGGCCATGACGGAGCGAAAGGGGTTCTAGGCCGAGAACCAACAAATTTGCTTTTCCCAAACTGGGACGTGCCTATCTTCAGGCTATAGATGAGAAGCTGCGTGGCTTTACCTTCACTATGCACAATCAGTCGGAGTACGACTGAGACTATTATCATCGACGAGACCCCTAACTGGATAGAACTAGCATGCAGAGCCTAGAGCAAACTAGCAAGCGGAAAGAGACTAATCCTTTCCGTGTGTTATGACAATAATAATTGAATTCCGTAACCAGGTCATTGAAGCTCTTCAAAGCTGCCAGAGTGAAGGACCATGCAGAAGTAGGGCATCACTCACTGGACAAGACCTACGGTAAGGTAAGCTCCAGCGGTTTCTCCGGTTTCAGTGCAAGTCTGTGCCCCAGGTGGAGTACCTGTGACCCTGGACTCCTGGAGACTGGAGCACCATGTCCTGCACTGCCATTTTCGGGGAAAAGCCTGTAAAACAGCCTACTCCAGGACTATTCTACGACAGCCCTACCATACGGGACTATCGAGAGTTGAGAATATGGTGGATAAGAGGTAGTGTGGAGTATGATATCAACCATGGATTAACGCTTGGATACATGACGCAGCTATTCAGCAATATTTGTAGAAGCTCCTACCTACCATGCTTACATGCAATTTTCATAGCGTTTTGCAAGTCCTACAGGATATCATACTCAGTAGCTTCAATTCACTGTTCTCCCGCCGAGTAGCACACGGGCCGTCCATATTCCATCCATTTCTTTGACACGAACTCGAAATGATCTCTCCAAGAGATCAGGAAGCGAGCATTCCAAACAAAGTCCCAGTCGTAAGAGTTCATTGAATTTCTTGACAGTATCTAGTCATGCCAGCTTCCAACCAAGGACGCTGTTCCGCTGTTCTATCTTGACTGCCAAATGACACAGAAATCGGCCATGCTTTGTTCTTGTACAACATCGACGTGATGGATGCTCTTCGGCATACACATCCTGTCTGATAACAGGAATCTTTTTTCAACACTGACTGCTTCATGACGTTCGTTACTGAACGCGTTACCATCATATCGATTTCGTTTTCCATCCTCACCCTTCGTCTCCCCCCCAATTGGCCCTTTTCACAAGACTTCGACTCAGCCCTATTCGTTGGCTTCGTCAGTATTCCATCTGTTTCGCACATTGGCTTACCTGGAGGTCGTCGGGGCATAGTGGAGAAGGGTTATCCAGAGCCTAACGCGAGTAACCAGCGGCCCTTGCGAAGGTATCAGCGCCCACGAGAGACTCAATTCTCAGGATCATCTCCTCCACCTTCGTCAGTCTCCTCTTCAACGCGACTAGATACCGACACGTCTCAGCAAATAATCCTTGCGATTCCTCATCGCACAAGTCGGTGAGCAAAATAAGACAACTGCTATTTATAGCGTCGAGCAGGTACCGTGGAATCTGTTCGAGACCGTAAGTCTGGCGCTGCTGACGCAGACAACAACCGATTTCTTTCGCAGCCCGAAGTCGAATCTTAGTCGCTTCTTGGATCTCTGGTGAGTTTTGTGCTTGTTCAGGCATCATGTGCTCCAAAAGAAAGCTGAACATCGACATGATCGTTTGGTGACACTTGATCCTGCAATTACGGGTGAGGACTTCGTTCGTTACTTCTTACTGAGGCAGGCCACATTCTTACCGCAGGAACGAGAAGTGTGGCATAAACTGATCTTCATCTTCCGTAGCGCCCTTCAGATCCACGAGCCACGTTTCTAAGCGCGAAAAGAACACCCTCGCAGCTGCCCAGAGTCGCTCGACGGTTATTTCGAACACCTTTTCAAACAACAGCTCTTGGATGTCCACCGTAATCACCGTTAGGTCGGCCAGCTTCCGCGTGGCATAACGAAGACGGGCCGGTTTTTTGACATAGTCAAGTCTGTTCGTAAGAGGGTATGGGCTCCACATGGTTTTGTCGGTAGCTTCTTCCTCGCTGGACAGGTTGGAGTCGGGATGTTTTAAGGCCGGCACTCTCTGTAGTTCCATAGATACATGCCTGTCACAAAAGATCAGCCATGCATGCAGCAGTGGATGCTTTCGGCCATACGAGTTCATGATATAAATTCCCCATGCAGTGATTGCTGCAACACGCTGAGATTGGGCAGAACACCTTCTATGAGGCAGTGCTCTTGATATCTGGAAGAGCCCAAAGTCTTGGGCAAGTTGCACACCTTGCTTAAGCATGAGCCAGCCAAGTTGACCCTTCCCTTGAGATTTCAAACTGATTCATAAACATTAGCGTCTCGAACCACGAGTAGCGAAGTTAGAGGCGTTCCAGCTTCAAGAACGCTCAATGCAAGCGACATACACATAACTCATCAGGACTACCGCCTGGATATTCGCCAGCGAAGCTTGGCCTTCTTCGGCTCTCCAAAGTCTCTCTGCTTCCGTCAAGAAATGCCGGCCGCGCGAAGCCACTTCTGAGGGAACAGCAAAGACATCAGGGAAATCAGAGTACAGCTGCCAAAGTCAAAAACCGAACGCCGCCTTCAAAAGAGTTGGGGAGACATCGTACACTTGCCATGGCCAGAACACTGTTCACCAGTAACGGCGTACAGAACTCCGAGTCCGTCTTCCCTGCTTTCATATGCTCCAGAAAGACCTTCTGATCTACGATCTGCACTAGTGGATTGTCCCAGGTAAAGTATAAAGAGACCAAATGCGAAACAAGTTGACCGTCATCGGTGACGACTGTCCAAGGCTTAGCAGGGACCTGGACTAAAGGGATATCACAAAGCTTCTCCAAGGTTATTCGAGAGTGAATATCGAGGTATGCGGGTTCCTGCGAGCCAGCTTGAGAGCTGGACTCGTCAGAACCACCTTTGAGGTCCTCGKAACTGACATCGCTTGGGTCTATGGTCGGCCCTGCCACGATGGCAGCAATGCTGTTCAGCGACGGAGAACCGCGTATGTGATCCAGGATTTTGTTTAATTCGGTGTCATCTGAATCGCGAAGTGACTCAAGGAGAGCGAATAGCAAGCTTCGGTAATAGGACAACTCTTCAAGGTTTCGTTTAGCCGCGACCTTGCGCCTTAGGTCTAGGGACTCATCGAAGACGCATTCGGCATCCGTGATCTTGCAGGATGTACAGGGTGGTGGTCGGCCGCTGCACTGCAATTTAAAAGAAAGTCAATGACCATTAGCTATGAGCTTGTGTATTTAAGTTGGTTGAAGACAAAGGAGGTTGGAAACAACGCGTAAAGACCTTGCCTAATTAACCAGTCCCGTTGGTTTCCGCGATTATAGCTGACAAAGAAAATCTCTACTCCTACCTTTCTTTTCGCCTGCTTACATGGTAAGCACGCCGTGGAGATCTTCTTTGGCCGGGATACGGTGGTGCTGTTCAGCGTAATGGGGCCTCGTGGGCCCGGCGCGAGGGTTGGAAGATGCTTATCCTGATCATCGGATGCCATCTCGGGCCACATCTTCACTCTCGGCAGAAGAAGGCTGTCTCACCGCAGACGCAAATACAGACGGCCTCAGGGCGCAACATTACTCCGTTTTTCTCCTCTTTTGATTCACACCAGAAGAACTGCTAATTGCGGCACGATGCTCCTTAGGAAAAGAGGAATGGGATGATACTAACAAACAATAAGGGCTTGGCGGCGGTGATAACTCATCCAGACTCATGCAGCTTTCACTTGGACCAGAAAGCAAACTCCATTCGTGACGATCACAGGTTGCTCCAGACCCCAATTGTCATCGCGTCTCGCTTGGACCAATCCTCTCGAGGTGCCGTAGCGACGGACCGACGTATTCGGTGTTGTGGACGTCGGTATGGCGGTTAGGGAACCTCGTTGCCGTTGCTGGGAAGTTTGTTGAAAAGAAGAGGACTGAACTACAGTCTACGGCCGATAGGAACTCTTTGTGGCAATATTTGAACCATGAGGGAAATCCGGAAAAGTAATGAGGCATAGTCATGGCGTTGGTACCAATAATCAACACAGCTTGCTGGTAACAGGCCTGGATTGGCTGGAAGAAGTCAGGACGCACTGAAACAGCACGTCTTATTTGGCTGTGGTTCGAGCCTACTACTAATCATTTTGTGGAGCAAAGGCTAGAATTGCTAACTGTGATGGAGCCTCTTTTTCTCATGCTGAGGTAACGTAAGGTACTAGAGAAACTACAGGCTATTTGAAACCATTGTGAACAGTCTCTTGCGGGCAGAGATCAGGCTGTCCGTGGACAGAGACTTGAAGCTCAATGTTTTCAGGTCCAACAATCTGGACACCATTTCAAAGGGACCTGGCTACACCATACCTGTGGTAACCTCTGTACACCACCACGAGTGAGTAATCAGTCTACATCAGCTGATTGCTTGCTTAGCACCAAAACTAGTGTTGGGGTCGGGCTCTATTCAAGTTGTGTTCGTTCTCATTGCTTGAGTCTTTTGTCTATCTTATGTCTGTCTACCTCAGACTTACATCAGCCCAGCCGGTCCACCTAGCTCGCGCCAGAGGATTTTCCATCGAGTAGGGAGTATACACTAACCTGCTTCCAAGTCGAGTTCACTGCATTTGATGTCAATATGACTACCAGGCCGGACTTGCCCCTCTTCGTCTCGGGGGTTTTTTTTTTATATACATTTGGCTACCTTCCTTTGTTCATCATGTGGAATTGTGGAGCGTGGACTGCATCCCTGCCTGGCAATCAGAGTTGCGGAAATCACTACCGACCCGTAGCTTAGGTACGTAAAGGACCTTAGGGTAGAGCCGACCACCAAAATGCGACTGAGATGAGTACCTCAACCACTAGTGAGTTTGACTCAAATATGGATAAGGTACATGGCAACCATCCAAGAAATCGTCTGTTGCACGTTGCACAGGAACGTCACTGCCGTGGCGATACGTAACATTCCCTGCATCTATCAAAAGTAATTATTTTCGATTGACAAGAAGTATGAAGTATTAGGACACAATTTCTTGGCCTTGTTATTCTCACTCCACTTTACTGTGTCCTACAGCCTTTGGTGTATTTTTACCTATCCGTAATAATAATATTTCCTTCACGAGTCGCCAATCTGATTATCTGAAGGATGACCGAAACAGGAAAATAGAAGTCTCCAGTCTCGACATATCTTTTCCAGTGTCCTACATAACACCTAAACCTTAGGCCTTTGATAGTCCAGGATTGCCAGATCACAACAGTCCTAGCTGCGATCAGTGGTGGATAATATGAAATCTCAGATCACGCTGCGATGATCTTTGTGTCAATGATCGTGGGTCAGGCAGATGTACGCATAGAATAGGTAGGTGTTTATGCACATCATTCCCTTTGCCGGCTTGGAGATTTACCTAGTGACTTGGCTTAATATCCATCGGTACACGATAATTGGAGCATAATCCTCAGCATCTAGTATATCCAGGTAGTGTAGGTAGTCACTACCCGCTCGACCTCAGATACCCATCACTCTTTGTGGACTTCGGTTTGGTGATGCGCAGGTAAGTAACTTGCCGAGTTCGCAGTGTGAGAGGCCAAGGCATCAAAGACTGCGGGGGATGTACGGGATGATCTCTAAACATCATGTTCGAAATGGTTTAGGTGAGATCGACACCTACCTCCATGAATTTGAGGCCCAGTGCTTGGGGGAGTGGTTGAGTCTTAATTGCTATACGCCTAGGTACATTACCAACGATCGAGCTCATTGACACCCAAGCTGCGTCGTTTGTAAACATCGCTATTCACCGCCAGGTCAGGGTCTGTACCAATGGACTGGTTCTGGCGAGCACCTTGCTCCAGTCTGACGGTGAAGGGACCGCTGTGATGAATCATGGGAGTTGGTATATCCATGGTTTAACTCTTAAGGGAAAGGTCCGGACTCCCGATGGAATGATACATGGTTCAAGCATGAAGATATTCTCAAGTAKGTTAGTACCAACGAATCGATCGGATCCTATTCCATTATTCCTGGGAGAGAAGTCTGAGCCATGAAGCTTATTCAACGGTATCTGTCTTTGTTCTTTCATTTTTCTGGTACGCTGGTAGCCGTTACCATGCATATTGGACTTGATAAAAGACAAGAAATACACAACACTACTTTCTCGAGTCAAAGATTTGATCTATCTCAGTCTAGGCACTTAAGAATGCTTGAAGGGGAACTGAATGTTGGTAGTTCACTCCGCCCACCTGATGTCTCGCAAGAATCCAATCGTCACCCTTGATAGCCGCTCGGCTAGAATCGGCATCCTGTCCCATCGAAAACGAAGGAGGCGGTAAGTGCCATAATCTCTCCGCCTACTACAAACGGCCTAGATATTGCCAATTTCTAGACCCGCGCGATATCGGAAGTAGGCTAGCGCGGTTCAGGCCTATTGCTCCTGCAGGTCATCGACAGGGAAAGCGATGAAGCAGTTTTTGTTGCTGCCATGAAGAAAGCGGCTAGATAGGGATGTTGATAAAGATAGATATCCTTAGAAGCATCCTGTAACTACATTGAGAGACCCATCAAGAGGATATTACGGCTAGATAATCGCAATAGATTTACTCCATGCTTCGGATATCGATGGCGAAGTCCCAGAGAATGGCTCCGCTCGGCAGGAAAACTTTTTGCTTTCGCCCCTCCCGGTTTTTCTCAATTGGAGAAAGCATGGAGTAGATAGTTCATCATTTATATAGTAACAATCATCGGGACTCAATCTAGGCAGGTTGTCTTCTCCTGTAAACCGGCATCGTTTCTCTGTATCCCTAGACTCCGTTATCGCAGGCGGATTCAACTTGGTTCCTGCTGTTGTTACTTCGTATAGTTCGGCACCATCGCCGGATCTGATAGTGACTCACAAGTCCCGACTGAAAGTCAATTGACCTCGAACCCCTTTCACCCCTCGCTCCAGTTTTGCAGCAGTTGTCATAACTTGATTCTGCGATAATACAATTTCGAACGTGGCAGCAATCACCACACCAAGCCAATCATGGGTTCCATTGCACAGACAGTACGAGAGCTTGATGCCTCAACCGTCAAGATAACCCGGTCCACCAACCTGCGTATGGTTCCTGAACCCGGTTCCCCAGAGGAACTCAGTCACTCGCACTGTACAGACCATATGGTCACCGTCAGATGGACTGTGAACAATGGATGGGAGACCCCTGAAATCAGACCATACGAGAATCTCAGCATTCCGCCGACCGCTGGCTGCCTGCACTATGCTACTGAATGCTTCGAAGGCATGAAGGTGTACCGAGGATACGACGGCAAATTGCGTCTGTTCCGGCCGGACTGCAACGGCGAGAGACTTGTCATGAGTGCCCAGAGAGCTTCTTTGCCCAGTTTCCGGTTTGAGGAGCTCAAGGTGCTTATCGCCAAGTTGATGCAGATCGATGGACCCCGTATGCGCCCCTTCTTCAAAAGAAGTCTTGACATGGACTAACATAAAGTTTTTTACCCCAATAGGCTGGCTCCCCAAGGACCAACCCGGTCGTTTCCTTTACCTTCGTCCCACTTTGATCGGCAGCGGCCCTCATCTGGGCGTGCAAACACCCAAAGAAGCCCTTCTCTTCATTATCGCCGTGCCATGGCCTGACCCGTCCAAGAAGCCCGTCGAGCCTGGCACCAAGCCCGGTCTGAAGCTTCTCGCCTCCCACCCTGACACAATCCGTGCCTGGCCTGGTGGCTTCGGTTACGCGAAGCTCGGGGCTAACTATGGCCCTTCCCTATCAGCTCATGGTCAAGCTCAAGCCTTGGGCTTTGACCAGGTCCTCTGGCTCTTCGGGGAGGACCGTCAAGTGACCGAGGCCGGTGCCAGCAATTTCTTCATTGTCTGGCAGAACAAGGACACCGGCAAACTTGAGCTCGTTACCGCGCCCCTTGAGAACCAGCTTATCCTCGCCGGTGTCACCCGTCGCAGCGTGCTGGAGCTGGCGCGGTCGAGGTTGGCCAAGCCTGTCGGCAGCCTTGCACCTGTTGACGTTGTGGAAAAGGCACTTACCATCGGAGATGTTGAGCAGGCCTGGAAGGAGGGACGCATTGTTGAAGCATTCGTTTCCGGCACTGCTGTAAGTTATCCTTCGCTCAACAACTCTCAGGCATCCTTCGCTAATGCAAAATAGTACTTTATCACTCCTGTGAAGCTCGTCAGGAACGGCGATCTCGATATGGACATGGTTGATGCGGGCGTTGAGCGTGCAGGATACGCTGCCCAGATCAGATCTTGGTTGGACGCCATCATGTATGGCAAGGAGAATCATGAATGGTCTTATGTGATTGAGGGAGAGGTCGAAAATTAAGGTGGATGCATCCTTTCTTTTGCCAATAGACATAGACTCAAATGTGACAATGTGTTGCATGCGGAATGATGGCTAGAACGGGCTTTTCATGCTGAGCGTGCCAATTCCTATAGTTATGTATCGAGCTTTAGCTCTTGGAATTGTGAATACCGATTCAAATATTTTTGTTAGCATGGACGATTGATTCTGACGACCTTTAAAATGC